TTAAATTTTTTAAAATGATATAATTTTTTTTGTTTTAGTATTTTGAAGTTGACCAATTGTTACTATAAGCAATTAATAGAATAAAGTCTTTATCTGCAAGTATAATAAATGACTTATTAATAAAGTAAAATGTTATTATTCATAATTTAAAAAAAATAAACAATAATAATAAATAATAATGACATACAATATCACAGAAGCCTTAAAGGTAACTTATTGAAATCAAATTGATCAAGCTTTCCATAAAATGGGTTTTGTGCGCAGCCATGTGACTTTTTTCTATTCTAAATTCAATTGAAATAGCAAGTTCCACAATATAAAAAAGATCGACGAACGATTTTGTCACGAGTGATAAAACGAATGTCCACTATGCTCATCAGGATAGAATCAAAAGGTGTTCGGTAAAGCAAATAGCATAAGAGGTAGGCTTTATCAATGCATGCTCTGGATCTAAAGAAAATTCGTAATCTTGTGGATGAATGTCATCGAAAATTTGCGAAGTCGCTATGTTGTTTTAGATTTAACAAAGACATGGTCAAAAGTCATGGCTTTAAAAAAATACATCAACTAACAAAACGTGTGGATGTTGTAGATTCTTTAAAGACCTCTAGTTGTATGTCTTGCAGTTCCACCATTGATAGAATATCTTCCTAATATGCCTTTAAAGTGTGTTACAAGAGTCGCTTGTAAGAATTTAATTTTAGAATTTTAAAGTGATACAAATTAAAAAATAATAATAATTACAACTACTGCATACATAAATAATATAGTGCAACAAATAGTATAATAGATGGATCCGATTCTCTCTTGGTTGAAAAGTATATAAATATTGATTAAAGCATGTATGTTTATTTGTTTACTTATTAGAGTTTATGAATAAAAAAAACAAAAATATGTTTTTTCAATTTTTTTTTCTTTATTAATATTTTTTTCCTCCTCCTTTCTCTTCTTCACTCTCACCACTTTTCACCACTTTTCACCCTCAAATTCCGAATCTTTTAAATCTTTTAAAATTATTCCTCTCCTTTTTTCGTTTTCTCTTTCTTTTAAAATGAAAAAATTTATAATAATTATAAATTTATTATTAATTTATTATATTTATCGTTTAATATCAACTAAAACCAAGTCTAACTACGCAATCGAAACCCCTATAACAGCCAAAGTAACCATAACAGGAAATATAAATGGACAATTTTTAATTTACGATAATCTATTTGATAGTGGCACTCAACTAAAAGGATACTACAAGAATGGATTAACCCCAAGACGAGGAGCAAAATATGATGAATTATTTAGATTTTTTGTAATTTTAGATTATAGTTGTGATAACACAACAGTTAACGGATTCATGCATGAAAAATTCACTTGGAATGCTGATAACTTTATTTATGTTGAAGTTACCAATAGCTTTATACCAAATAAGTTTAGAAATAGAATATTTAATCCAAGAAAAGGTAACAGTAAAGTATTCAAGACTTCCACACATAGTTGGTATTTTGGTAAAGATTTACCTCATACTATTGTTGTATTCGAGAAAACTTCTATAGATAAAAATAAATATAAAATATCCGCGGTAATTATTATATTTGTGTATAATATATTTATGTTTAATATATTACTTATATACTTACATAACATATTATTATTATTTATTATTATTTAGTGTGGAGACATGATTCCAGTTGAAAATTATAAGAAGGATAAAGATGTGATATTAATCAATCAAAAAGAAATCAAAGATATTAAGAAATTAAACGAAGGTTCAATCTTCAAAGAATATTTTAAAAATTACGATGATGAATATAATGATGGCGAGGCTGATGAAATTGCCATGGAAAATATAAATGTCAAATTCAAAACGTTCAAGAAATTTGTTAAGAGCTCTAAGACCGAAAATGGCATTAATCATGATAATAATAACAATAATAACATAAAAGATACAGTGACCATCAATAGTATAGATGACATTAATACCACTGATAACGATGTTGGCAACAACATTGACATTAACATTGACATCAATACTGATATCGATAACAATAATAATGATGTTGATAGAATAATTGATGACATCACAGATACCAATGTTAGTAATGATAGCAACGATATTTTCAATGAGAACGTTGCAGGTAATGCTGATGCAGATATTATTGACATCAATACTGATATCGATAACAATAATATTGATGTTGATAGAATAATTGATGACATCACAGATACCAATGTTAGTAATGATAGCAACGATATTTTCAATGAGAACGTTGCAGGTAATGCTGATGCAGATATTATTGACATCAATACTGATATCGATAACAATAATATTGATGTTGATAGAATAATTGATGACATCACAGATACCAATGTTAGTAATGATAGCAACGATATTTTCAATGAGAACG